CCCCACCCACCCACACCCACACCCCCACACCCACACCCACCCCCACACCCTTAACTATATTGATGTGTTTCATGGATATAATAGAAATTTCCTATCTAACATCATATCACCATATGTTCATATGTCGTATCGTTTTGTTTTCTATTATAAAATTGAAAAAAAAGTAAGAATTCAAAAGTTCCTGTGGGATTCCACTAGTATGCCACTTTAGATTTTCTCACTCTTGACTGTTAATAAAAAGACAAATAGAGCTCATCGTATGTCCACGCTTTAAAATAAGTTTTAAGGGTGAGTTTTGGCTCTCACCCCATCTCCCCATTACTGACCATGCCAACTAGTGTTAAATGTAGTTAGGTACTACAGTTTATATAGAATATTCGAGTTCCACATTTCAGCCCCAAAGGAACTGGGCTAACAAGCTTTTTTTCTTCTATCACTTATTTCGATACATCACACAACTAACGCAAACAGTTAAGATGAATTTTAAAGAGATTTCAGATTTATGAAATTCTATAACTCATTAATAAATTCTAACATTATTTATTCCAATTATTCATTGAATTGCTTATCATGTTCTGATTCTGTTACGTAAAAGATAAAAATAGACTTTTTTTTTATTGAAAACTTCGACCTTGACACTAGAGAAAAAAAGAGAAAATACCATTAATTTTACCTATGACAGTATATCAACAAAAGAACTCAACACTATTGTCCTGATAACTTTAAACTACACTCAACTAGAATTCAAATATTTATTCACGTATACCTAGTGTCAGTATAAAGTTTTGTAACATTTTGTGTTTTCACATTGATATCAATTCTCATAAAAGATAAAACATTAGATTTAATTTTAGAAAATTTGCAGTTCTGTTCATCTACACCCAGAATTCAAATAATCATACTATTTGCATTCGAAAAACGTTCAATTCTGTAATTTTGTTTTATTAAGGCAAGTATATTTTTGTAGAAAATTAAATTGCAAATCTTCCAAAATTGAATTCAGCATTGTATATTTTGTGTTAACTGTGATTTATGTAAACGTTTTGTGATACCGTATCTTGTTTTTAAGAGAACACATTTTTCAATTTATATCTTGAGTTCATTGTTGCATGTAGCCGACTTCTGCTCGACGATTGATCTATTCAAGTTTAACATTGCTTTCTTTTGTACCTAATTATACAGTGAAATTCCCTTTTGTTAAGAGTGTATCTGCTTAAGCTACCTTTCAGTATTTCTTTGCTACAATCATAGTGTGTGTGTGAGACGGGGCGGGGGGGGGGGGCGAGATGATGGAGGCGAAAAAAAAAAAAAAGAGTAAACCAACCAAACGAAA